AAAAAAAAAAATTGCAACTTATTCAAACTACCCTTCTAAAAGAAGAGTTAGTTTTAACATAACTATAAAATAAATATATCCCAAAACACACTACTACATATATACCACAAATTCATCTCCTTCTGATGATAAAAACCATCAGGTTAAACACAAAAATATTATAGAAGTCTATTTTCTACACAGCTATAGAATAAAAGAAGAAATAAGAATGCACTAAATAAGACACACTTAATGTTGGAAAAATTTAACTGAACATTCTGCCAATAACTTACTAACATATACGATAAGAATATTTAAGAAACATGACATTTTTTGTCCCCAAACATATGCTTTGCTAAATATTACAATTTAATAGATTAATTTGCTCAACTGACCTTTATTTTATTATGCAGGCAAAATTAGATTGCAAGATGATATGGTATGTCAAACAGTATATCTGTAACCAGGAGATTGGAGATTCAGGACATATTTAAAAGCATTTGTTTTTGTATGATTTCATAAGATGAAATGAGAACTTAAGAATCCATTAAAGAACTTTTGGCATTTCCTAACATAACAATGCATATATGCACTTTATGTTACTTAGCACATATGTTTTTTTCAACTGGACATTAAATTTAAACTCACCTGTTTTGTTGATTTTTTTGTGCCATTAAAAATCTTCCAAGCTAGCCCATTGCCACCACTGGCAATGTGTCGACCAACATCGAATTCTCTAGTGACGGGATTTCCCATTACAGCACTAGTGACATCAGCTGTTACTTTTGTAACAGTACTCTTCAATTTATTAAGCATGGACTCCATGGCTGCAATATTGGGTAGTTATAGTTACCTAGAAATAGAAACACAGGAGGACAGGGAAGAACTGATCATTTTTACTTGTATAAGCACTTATTCATAATTTAGTTTGAAAAGCTTAATATCCCTCAAATAATGAGCAAAACAATCCTATATAGATAAAAGTTATATGCCATGTTGATTTTGTCCTTAGAGAACCCAATACACTTGAGTACAAACTTAAGTCTAGAAACCAAACTGCCCCTTTCAATTTCAGTTCTCACAGACCAGCAGAAGACATATTCACAGTCGACACTGACAAGAAGGAAGAATGAACATTGCTCAACTATATAACATGGATCCTTTAAGACTTAGAGTAATATACAAGATCTGAACCTTACTTCACACTAAAAACAACGTAAAATCTGAAAGTCGCTAATGCTATATACTAGAATTCAGAGAGAATTAGAGGTATTATTAGAATCCACACTAGATTTTATAATTTAATGCATTAAGCACATATACCACTATATCGTAGTCATGAAAATGTTATTTAAATTATTTCAAAATCATTGCTTTCCTTTCTATATACTTTGTTTTATGCATTTAAAAATATGACTCTAACTTCAGGTCATAACAGAAGAACAAAGACTGAATTTATCCTCTTACTTTAAAAACTAGAAAACTGGACAAAATATATGAAACAAATGTTTTCAGACATTGACTATGCAGCAAGGGCCTGTGATCCCATTGAGAAAGAAAACTAAGAAGGTAAACCTTAGAACTGCCCCAGTTTCTGCCTAAAGGCACATTCCAAATCACAGAGCAAAGAGCAGAGTTCCAAGTGGCCATCTAGTTGAGTTGAGGAACTGAGGGGACAAATTTTGGAATTCAGGGATGCTGAGGTGACTGGAAGTTCTGGGATAGACTTCC